GAGGAGGAGGAGGAGGAGGAAGAGGAGGAGGAGGAGGAGGAAGAGGAGGAGGAAGAGGAGGAGGAGGAGGAGGAGGAAGAGAAGGAGGAGGTGGAGAAGGAGGAGGAGAAGGAGGAGGTGGAGAAGGAGGAGGAAGAGAAGGAGGAGGTGGAGAAGGAGGAGGAAAAGGAGGAGGAGGAGGAAGAGGAGGAGGAGGAGGAGGAGAAGGAGGAGGAGGAGGAGGAGGAGGAGAAGGAGGGCTATAGGGATTGAACAAATACAATGTCTTATCTTCTTGGAGCTTACATTTCACAGAGGAGGCAGAAAATAAGCAGATAAACATGTCATGCCATGTAGTGTTATGTGTCATAGAAAAAAACACCAACATATACATATGCAGAAGAAGAGTAAGGGAGAGAAATGAGAGCCCTCTACTCACCCAGAGGATTGTCTAAGTGATGGATCAGTAAGCATTTATTGAACACCTACTATGCTATGCACTAGGCACTCGGTGGGGAGGATGGAACAAGTGGAATCGTTGGTAAGCATGCACCTTACAGACGAGACAGAAACAGCAATAATAATGACAATACAGGATCCGGTGCCACGTTTTCCCCATATTCCTCTGAGACAGGTGTTGATATTCCCAGGGACTGGGAAAATTTAAATTACTTTTCACAGTGGGAAAATGCCAGCACCAAGAATCTAGCTCAGATCTGTTTGGTTCTGACATGGTTTCACTCATGCCGCACTCCCTTCTCTGTACAGATGGAATTGGAGGAGAAACTGGTGAATTCAGTACTCTTGGTGGTACAGCTAGGTACCATACTTAAAAAGATCATCAGTTGCCAAACATAAACCAAAACAAAAGGTCCTCCTGACCGGGCTTTGTCATTTTAAGAATGAAATAGAAGGTATCTGAGGACTTTACAGATCTTTGGTTCATCATTCTGAATATCAATTGTTATTAGTTACAGATATATGGAAGTATTGACCAAAAAAAAAGTGGTTGATATACTTCTGAGGCCGGGTGCAGTGGCCCATGCCTGTAATCCCAGCACTTTGGGTGGCTGAGGCAGGTGGATCACCTGAGGTCAGGTGTTCGAGACCAGCGTGGCCAGCATGGCAAAACCCCATGTCTACTAAAAATATTTTTTAAAATTATCTGGGTGTGGTAGCTGACACCTGTAATCCCAGCTACTCAGGAGGCTGAGGCAGGAGAATCACTTGAACCTGACAGGTAGAGGTTGCAATGAGCTGAGAGATTGCAACAGGAGGGAAACTCTGTCTCAAAATAAAATAAAATATAATAAAATAAAATTCACAGCTTGTCTCAGGCACTGTGCAGTGTGGGCGGCAGCTGCTCTGTCCCACATGCAAACTCTCCAGCAGGTTAAAACGGCTGCAGCCCACACCACTTCAGAGGAGCCCTGAGTGGGTCAGCACATCTGACAAGATGTTGCCCCTTGCATCTTTTTTATTTTTTAGTTCCATCTCTGTTGGAAATAGATGCTCAGTGCCGCAAAGAAAAATCAGCGCTGAGACAAAGGATCTTTCAGCAATGCAATTTTTACTTCCTGGACTGCAGGAAGGGTACTCTTGCTAGCCATCTTGCCATGAGAGTACAATGAACAAAGGAAAACACACAAGTTTATTCCTTACACATTTGGGGTCGTCCTTACTGCTGTGTCTGATCTCCGTTGGCTAGAGCCAGACCTCACAATCTAAACTAAAACCCGAATGGCTAATAACTTAAACCCTTTCTAAAGAGGTAAAAGCAATGGAGGGCTGGGATATGCCTGTGAGCCTGACTAGCACAGATACCTTGGTTAAAGTACAAGGATATAGAATATACTAGGTGCCTGTAAGTGCGGCATGTCTAACAGCTACGTAGGGTAGGGCTTAACAAAGTTATTATCACGTTTATTCTTTAACAAGAAAGGAAACTTTAAAAAGGAACTTTTTAACTTCCCACATTCTCCGAAGAGGAAGACCAGACAATTTAGTGGTTACACTTCTGCTATAACAAAAGTCTGTCTACCATTCTGTGCTGAAGGGAAATACAGAGTGCAGATGGGAAAACTACTATCTACTAAGCAGATTAGAGACAGTAGGGTGCAATTCACAAAATACAGGGTCTTTTTTGTGGGTGTCACAGTCTGTCCCTACATTGTCGTTGGAGAGAGGAGGCGGGATATGTGGTACGATGCAAGCAGATGGCAGGTTCATAGGGAGATGAAGGGAAAAGATAAGACAAACCGTTGTCTTTGAGAGTAGAACAGACAGGGTCTTGCTCTGTCACTCAAGCTGGAGTGCAGTGGCACAATCCTAGCTCACTGCAGCCTCAAAGTCCTGGGCTCAAGCAATCCTGCTTCAACCTCCCAAGTAGCTGGGAGTACATGGGCACACCACCACATTTGGCTAAACTTTTTAAATTTTTTACTAGTTTCTTAGACATGGAGGTCTCCCTATGTGGACTAGGATGCTCTTAAACTCCTGGCCTCAAGTAATCCTCCTGGCTCAGATTCCCAAAGTACTGTGATTACAGGTGTGAGCCACCATGCCCAGCTGAGTGTTTCTTTATCTCTTCTTTCTTCTCCTCAGTATTTTTTCTTTTTTTTTATGCCCCTCCCTTCATCTCTTACCCCCTCCCCATCCTGCCCAACTATCTTAATTTCCAAGTTTTGGATAGTTTTTATTAACATTAATAAAATGCTTTGGAATTAAACCTGAGATTGAACCCCAGTTTCTTCCGTTACCAGCTGTGTAATGATGGGCAGGTAATTAAACTACAACTGGATTAACTTGCAAGTCTTCCACAATGATTAAGTGTTGCTACTAAAAAAAAAAGAAAAATATAAACTACATAAAATGCCGATCTCCTTCTTTGTTGACATTAAAGATGGCCTAGGCCAGGCGGCGTGGCTCACACCTATAATCCCAGCACTTTGGGTGATGGAGGCAGGCAGATCACCCGAGGTCAGTTCAACACCAGCCTGGCCAACATGGCAAAACTCCATCTCTGCTAAAAATACAAAAATTAGCCGGGCATGGTGGCATGTGCCTGTAATCCCAGCTACTCAGGAGGCTGAGGCAGGAGAATTGCTTGAACCTCGGAGATGGAGTTTTCAGTGAGCTGAGATTGCACCACAGCACTCCAGCCTGGGTGACAGAGAGAGACTCTGTCTTAAAAAATGTATATATATTGATTTCACTTAAGTATTTCATTGTTTTCAACTGGCCTTGATGAAAACACTCAGAAATAACGTTGATACCCTACTTGTTTTATATATGTAGCTGTATCTGTGCTTTATATTACAGTGACACCAAGACTTTTAAAGCTGAAGAGTCCTTAGAAATAATGTATTACACATAGGCAGGAAGATGGGAACTGCAGACCCTGGGGACCACTAGAGGCAGGAGATAAGAGATGTGAGCTGGAAAACTACCTATTAGGTCCTGATACGGTTTGGCTCTGTGTCCGCCGCCCTTCCCAGTCTCATGTCAAATTGTAATTCCCACATGTCAGGGGAGGGGCCTGGTGGGTGGTGATTGGATCATAGGGGTGGATTTCGCCTTTGCTAGTCTCATGATAGTGAGTGACTTCTCAGGAGATCTGACTGTTTAAAAGTGTGTGGCACCAACTTCTAGCTCTGTCTCTCCTGCTCTGTCATCGGAAGACATGCCAGCTTCCCTTTGCCTTCCACCATGATTATAAGTTTCCTGAGGCCTCCCCAGCCAAGCCTCCTGTACAGCCTGCAGAACTGTGAGTCAAGGAAGCATCTTTTCTTCATCAATGATCCAGTCTTAGGTGGTTCTTTATTGCCGTGCAAGAATGAACTAATCCACGTACTCTGCTTACCATCTGGGTGATGGGACCATTCATATCCCAAACCTCAGCATCACAAAATATTCCATGTAACAACCCTGCATAAGCACCCCACTGACCAAAATAAAAACAAAGGAAATAATACATAATTTTTCAAAGCATCCCTCATGGTGAGGGAGATATTTATTTTATTTATTGTATTTTTATTTTTTAGGACAGTTTCATGCTTGTTACCCAAGCTGGAGCGTAATGGCGCAATCTCAGCTCACCGCAACCTTTGCCTCCCAGGTTGAAGTGATTCTCTTGCCTCAGCCTCCCAAGTAGCTGGGATTACAGGCATGCACCACCATCCCCAGCTAATTTTGTATTTTTAGTACACGCAGGGTTTCTCCATGTTAATCACTCTGGTCTCGAACCCCTGACCTCAGGTGATCCACCTGCCTCAGCCTCCCAAAGTGCTGGGATTATAGGTGTGAGCTACCACGTCTAGCCAGCAAGGGTGATATTTATGATACCCATTTTATAGACAGGAAATTTGAGTCTCAGGGAGTGTGATGATTAATACTGAATGTCAACTTGATTGTACTGAAGGATGTGAAGTATTGATCCTGGGTGTATCTGAGGTGTTGTCAAAGGAGATTAACATTTGAGTCAGTGGGCTGGGGAAGACAGAGCCACCCTTAATCTGGGGGG